AGGAATGATTTTCTTGTGTCAAAATAAGAACAGCGGCATATGTAATCTACACACTATCCCAAATTGATCACATGTTTGCTTGGAGGATAGAGCCCCTAATGGCTCAGATAACTGAAATAGTTCTTGAAGCCTGGATGCCTCATTTAGTTAAAGGAATATGTGATAAAGTTGTCAAAGTAATCTTTTTACCATAGTGCTAATGGTCTTTTGGCTTGTGATGTTGCTTGCTGTAGTGTATTGACGGTCTTTTCAGGGGTGCTGGAGTTCTAACTCAGTCTCTCTGTGTATGTTCTACTGCATAAAATGCTGACCTGTAAAGTGGAACAGATCCTGTGTTCGGTGTTTACTTAGAGAAAGTAAGAAGTCCTATACTGAAAACTGCAAGAAGTGTACTTGAGCGAAACTCTCTCTTGCTATTCAGTGCCTTAATATTGATTAATCTCTAATAATGTATGTAGATGTTTTAATATTTTTAAAGGTAATTTTTTATCTTTGGCAGTATTAAGGGGCTAATTCAGCTCAGATTTTAATTATATCTTTCTCTAGTTTGCTATTCAGGGATCATCAGTTGTTGGATGACTCTAATGAAGGATTATTAAAGAGGTTGAAGGGCTAGAGGTTGAATTCAGTAGAATGTTCGTTGATGAATTAGACAAAGACCTAGAGGAAGAATCTGGTAGAGGATAAGCAGCAGAACTTGAGCAATTAGACCCAGTGGGAAATCAGCAGAAGTAGTAAAGGGCAGATTGGAGGAAGCATCTAGCCAAAATACTGATGAGTGAGTTGGCGTCTGAACTGGGAAGATGCAACTTCTTCACTGCCCCCAGTAGAAGAAGAATCTTAAGGAATACTAGACAAGAATTTCAGTTTAGATGAGGTGAGTGATCTCAGCACTGGTTAGGGCACATCTGGGCTCACCAGTATAAGAAATAGAGCTACTAGATAGATAAAACTGGATAGCCCAGTGAAGGGCCGCTAAGACAATTAAGGGACTGGAGCTTCTCTCACATGAGGAGAAGGCTGAGTGAATTGCTGGAATTGTTCAGTATAGAGAAAGCTCAAGGTGAGGATGCCATCAGTGTACACGTGAAAGGAGGGTGTAAACAAGCAGTTGTTGTCACTGGTGCCCAGTGGTAGGACAGGAGGCAATGGGCACAAATGAAAAAGGACAGGAGGTTCTGCCTGAACTTAAGGTAACGCTTTTCTACTGCGAGGGTGACTGAGCATTGGAGCAGGCTGCCCGGAGAGGTGTGGAATCTCCATGTTTGGAGATACTCAGAAGCTGGCTGGACATGGTTCTGGGCAACCTGCAGGGGGTTGGACCAGATGACCTCTAGAGGACCCTGCCAACCTCAGCCATTTTGTTGTGAAAACCACTTGTTGATTGAGTGATAGAAAACATAGAAAGATGTGAGCGAAGTGTTGAGTAGGAAGCTAGTGAGGAGGAGCTGGGAGAGAGTGTTTAGCACTCTTTTTTACTTTTTATCTAAGATACTTTAAATAAAATAGTTGGTTCTCAATCAAATATCTTTATAGTGAATTGTATAGGTAAGGCATATTCTAGGTACTATGAGACTGACATAGGCTCTGATTTTGGCTGTATTTACTTCATCAACACTAGCAAGAGATTTGACTTGCCGTCTCTTTTAAAAATGTCCATGTTCATGGCTAATCTTAAACCCATGAAGTTCTGTATGTTAAATAGTCATGGATTTAAAAAGAACCTGAGAACTTACCATTTGGATTCCATAGAAGGAAGGCTGTACAACATAGTGCACAGAGCTATCTAGCTTGTCGAATGGAGGCATCACTACTGCCAAAGCGTTACTGGGGTATTGCAGCTACTTTAGCCTCTCCTGTAGACGCTAAAGTAAGTAACAGTAAGACTTGAAAACATACCTCCACACTGATGACACTGAGGCATGCTTCCGAAAACATTCTCCTCCTGCTTATTTATTTATTCATTCAAAAGCAGGTTATGTATACTTCATGTATTGATCACTGTCATTGTCAGTTTTAAGACATGAGTAATGTGGCACAAGCTCCACTTCTTGCAGAGTAAGGTTCTGGCACTGTCAGCAGTGTTGTGTATACTCCAGTTGATGAAAACGAATTGTTTCAAAGCTGCCTTCACTTTATGTGGATAGTTGCAGTGTCAGTGACCAGAGTCCTAAAAGCTGTGTTGAGCTTTGGATTCTGAGTAATTTTTCTCCTGTGATTTTTCTTGTTGGAAGGCTTCAAATTGAGCACCTCTTTTTTTTGAAATTTTTTTTTGCTTTAAGATGTTTAAGACATTCTCTAATATGGGAAAGTGTAACTCAGTGTTTTCACAGCTTTCTGTAAAAAGTGTTTGCAACAGTTTCTGCATTTATGTGAATGTACAACATGAAAATACAGGTGCTTTCAGCTGAGTCTAGTGTGTTTAATATGCCAAAAGCAAGCAGTAGAATTGTGTGTAGGACATGAATATTTGTATTTGTGAACTAGAGCCCTTGTGGATTCTGCTATGTTGAAACACTGGAGGGACAGTTTCTGTCCTGAAGAATAAGGGGATTTATCTTCTAAAAATGAGGTGTTTTCAACTTATTGATGAATTTTCTGTGGAACTAGTGGCTTTTTAAGGAGCTACTCAGCTTATTATTGGTTTTATAAGCAACTGAATAAGGACTGAGGTCATGCTTTCTAAAAACATACACTGGTGGAATCAAAGATGAAATACTTCGAAATGTTTGCACCTTTTATAATGATTTGAAGTGGCATGTAGTAAAGCTGACAGAATGCAGGTGGGACTCTATATCCTGATTGCTATTGAATATGTAAAGGACATCATTCAGATGCATAATCCCTGTAAATTTGTGCATGTGAAAAACTTCTAAGATTGTGCTATGAATTGAGTCTGTTCCAAGTCCAATGAGCTATGTTGCCCTGCTATTGCAGTTACAGAAGGTTTTCTTTATAAACCGAGGCATCTTTATTCATCTGTAGAAAAGAGGAGGATGTAAGAAGACTTCTGTGGTGATTTTTGATGAGTCCCTTCAGACTTTTCAAGCGAAAATTTATAATACTGTTGAAGACAGCAACGAACACTTCCAAATGGAGCAAAGTTAGTTATGTGCTGTGTGTTGCACTGGAATTAACTCAGCCAGTCACAATTTCTCTTTGCTGATTTTTCAGGCAAATTCTATGTAAAAATAAGGGTGCATGAAGGCTAGTACTTTTTAAAACTTGATCTGATAATATGACTGACAGTTAACTCTCAACTTTTGAGACATGTGGGCTCACTTTCTATAAACACCTAGTTACAGCAGAATCTGCTTTTTTTTCTAGTGAGCTCTTCCAGTGATAGTTTTCAGTCTTTCTGACATCTACACAGATGGTAATCCTTATAACATGAAGAAAAGAAAAGGTGATGCTTCCTATGCAATACTACTCTTTGAATTGCAGAGAGTGTTGCCCTGGAATGTTGAAGTCTGGTTAACTGGTATTCAGCACTGTGTACCACATGCATACATCTTCTGTTCTTTGAAAGTCCTTTGACATTAGAACTGGCTGTGTACTCTTAATATAGGGACTGATTCCTCATTTCAGTAAGTTTGTTTTGTACTTAAACTACATCCTACTCAATTTATATATGGTGCTTGCCTTGATTTGGCTTATTTGTGTTCCATGTAGTGTTTTGTTTGTATGTTACTTGTAAACTTTTCAAGGACATTCTTCTGCTGTATTTTAACAGCTCATAGTGAGGGAAGGATCCCAGTGTTACCACTGGTAATGGAGGTGTATTGATTAATTTGAAGACTGCTGCTTCAAGCATTGTGAGGAACAGAAACTGATGTGTTTCGGTGTATGCAAAAATGCTTGACTTGATTCTGGACTGTTAAAGAATTGACTTGGTTTTGGTTTAGAGGCTTTTCAGATTTCCACTTCAAGAACAGGTTATGTGTATATTGAAAGATGGAATGGATATCACAAGAGGATAACATTACCCAACAGGCAATTTAGTAGTTCAAACAACTTCTTAAGTAGTTAAGTCATCTTCTATACACACTGAGCTTCACATATGCATCTGGTGACATTTGAGATGGTTTAGAGTATCTGAGATGCATGAGTAATTTCTCTATGGGCTAGAAAATACAACTCGGGACCTACAGCAGACCAGTATCCTCCAGCATCAGTATCTAGAAGCTTGACAGGATGTTTCAGGGCATTTCAAACAGCTTTAGATGCTTATATGTCCAGTGAAATGAATCCCACAAGGAACCATGCTTTTCTCTGTGGGAGAATTTGTTAATAATGTGGTGTAATAAATTGCTCCAGATGGATCACAGAGTCATTAAGGTTGGAAAAGACCTTTAAGATCATCAAGTCCAACCATCAACCCAACACCACCATGCCCACTAAACCATATCCTGAAGTAATGCCTTCTCTAGACTTTGATGTCAGAGAGAATTCTGTTTCTCCGGTCTCGGTCAACATAGATTATAATCTTGATAGTTTTGCTGTAGTTC